ATATATATATCTTACATACTCGTTTGAAATTAGTCTTATGACGGCCAAAAGCTCCGTCCGTTGAGATGATTTACAGCAGAATTTAAGCCCTGTTATTGAGCTTTAGTGGTGCATATCAGTGAATACATTTGTAATTAATTACCAAAAACACTATCTTGGGGCCTGGGTCCCTGAGTGGTTGGGATTTTGGGGGAGTTGTGATAGACTGTATATAAGAAGTGGACTAATGTTTTGACGCCTCTAGTTAGGCATTTTGGTCGTCGCCATCTTGGTTTCTTGCAACCAGAACTGACACGAGAGGGCGGAGTTAACGGAAACAATAGCAAAGTAAATAAGATGCTTTTTAGGCAACCAAAACTGTTATAATCAGACGAAAATAAGGACAACTCCCAGACTAGAGACAATGTGGTGGAGACCTGTCAATCACCGTGTAGCCCCGCCCTAAAGCATATTTGATAATCAATACAAGTTGTCATGAACCCAGATTATCCTTTAAAGATGGTCCCTGAGGAACAAACAGAAACAAAATGCTTCTCTCTTTGAACAGAAGAACTCTCATATTTTCAAGCATTTGAAATGAAGAGCGAGCTGCTGTACGAGTCTTTGTCCTCCTCTTCATCGTCACCCTTTTGATCCTCCAGAAGTTTATCCAGGAGGCTCGGTGCCTCCGCATCCACCACTGGATCTTCATCCAGAGACTGGCCTTGTAGATCCGGGTCCATTTGGTGCTCTGGTCGCTGCGGGAGGTCCAGTATCTGCGAATGATCTGCGCCAGGAGCCTCCAGCTGAGGTATCATGGTGGTCAAAGACATGGGCATGGGCATGTGGAGCAGAGGAGACCCGGGCAGGGCTGCAGAGCCGGGGCCAAAATGGACCTGATTCGACATGGTGGATATGGTGGTGATCGGCTGGGCCCAGGGGAGGTAGGTCAACCCTGAGTCTGGGATCTCCATCTGAGGGATGGAGCCGGGTGCTGGGGCCACAGGTATGGTCTGAAATGACAGCAAATGATTTCAATGTTCACGATGAACCCAAAGGAACTAAAACTAGCAAAGACACAAACAAAGACGCATAGGTATCTCCCTTGTGTCACAGATCAGGCTGATCTCATTGAGCGTTCGTAGCTATACCTACCAAACATAAATGCACAGTAATTCGTACATAGCACACAGAACCATCTGTTATTAAACCTGACTAAATTGTTTCCTATGAAGACGGAAGTTTATTTTGTAAATGCATGTAAGGAGCACAAATCGACACATATTGCTGAACATTCGTAGGAAAACTTGAGGAGTAACTTTACGTAAAATATTATACGAACTGTTGCGAGCGTATATTTACTCGTTGTACCGACACGTTAAAAAACTAACGCTAGAGGAGTATCTAGTGCATCACTCTTTGATGCAAAGGGGCACCAACCAAGTGTCGGTGTTTGACGATTTGGGAGTGACAAATGTGTTGTACGATGAATTTACCAACAAGGTAATAGATTGCTTTTAACCAGTATAGCTGGGAAGCATTGGACTTCTTGTAACAGGGTAATAAGATGCCAAAAAGAAGGGGTAAAGTTTTCTCCTCCTCACCCCAAAGTTGGTGAGCAGCGGTGTGTGTGTGTAGGTCAGCATGGTGTAGCTGGGGCACAGAGTCTGCATGTACACGTCAGCGGTGAGGGTGGAGGTCGGAGGGTAGGCCAGAGTCTGAGCCGAGGCATCCTGCTGGTTGTATTCCGATGAAGACCACGACGTCACACCGGGCTGCAGGCCGCCACCAGACGGTGCAGCTCTCCACCCTGCACACTGCTGCAGCCCTCCATCAGTGACCGCCGCCGCCGGCTCGGCAACGTCAGGGACAAACATCCCTGATTTACGGAGGACAAGTCTGAGTGTTAGTCTTCAAAGACGGAGACAGAGACACACCTTTTTACTCCAGGAATCAATGTGCAGCTGCTACCTTGTGTGTATGATGACTGGTTGTTGTGTGTGACCACATCCTTAAAAGAAGAAAAGATGAGCATATCAATAATTTGCAGTAGAACCATAACCAGATGTCTGTCAATGTTGACATAAATATGAAGTATATACACTTTGAGTGCAGGTGTGAGCAGCAGCTGAGTGGAGACTATAACTAAAGTCTGTTAGTGTTGAGATACAAGCCGGAATTTTTTCGTGTGCTCACATACAAGTACGAACTTGAAGGGTTTGTCTAATTTTCTAACATGCTAAAACGTGAGATAAATAGATTTTTTTTGCAAAAATCGAAACACTAGACCAGAACTAGAACAGCCAGGCCGGATAGATAAAAGACAAGCTTGTTAATTAGCCTAATTTACTGCTAAGCTGTATATATATCAATGCATCATTTATGTTTCCCATACATAATGGCAACTGATATTGTTAATTATATACCTGCGATTCACAAGATTATATGTTAGATCCTAACAAGGCAGACCGCACTGGATGAATGTCTTTCACTGAGCAAAAGTTCACTGTAAAACCTCCAAACTGCAATTTGGACATTGATAAGATTGCGTGAGTGGATGTGATGATCCCTGGAGGCCCAACGGATACGATTGTCTCACAACAGATCAGCTTTGTTCAAAGAGAGGAGGGTGGAGTCCAGCTGCTCCCACAGATGGAGGCAAATTAGGAAAGTGAACAAAAGTTGAAACTCTCAAAACCTCTCAAAGGACAAGTTCACACATTTAAACGCTGACATTTCCAATTTGAAAGTGTTGTTATCTCTGCCGGGCGAGCCTCTAGGGAGATCATGCCATCTGTCCGAACACGACTGATCTTGCAAACGAACCAGTCGGAGATTTAAGTGATCAACATAACAGAAGGCATTTTCGGCAATCGGATAGGCTGAACAAGCTCTAGTTATTATGCTGGAGGTCACATTGTCGTGGCTAAAAAAAAGCTGACATCCACAGAAATGTATGGTCCCATTTTGAACCACTTTGAGCATCTGCAGACACATTGAATGAATTTTCTCCTGGTTGTTCATTGCAAAAAGATGTAAATTAACTTAAGTATGCAACTTAAAGTTACTGTGAGGTACTTCTAACTGGTCCTGAACCAGTCTCAGTGTAGTCCTGATCCTCTATCAGACCGCCATCAGTAAAGAGACCATCAGAGAGAAGATAGTCTGTTTCTATAGAGTTATTCTTAACGCTCGTCATCGGAGCCACCGGGTCGGATTCTGGTGAAACCAGATGACCGGCCCACCGTGGACGGACCCAGATCCTCCAGCAGAGACCGGCCCACCGTGGACGGACCCAGATCCTCCAGCAGAGACCGGTCCAGTTGGAGCTCCGGAGGGAGGAGGAGAGCTCAGCTCCTGGCAGCAGCAGCAGCGTCTCCTCCTCTTCCTCCTCCTCCTCCTCCTCCTCCTCCTCCTCCTCCTCCAGGAGCAGAGCTTCTCCTCTCTGGGAGTCAACACCGACTCCACGCTGCTGGAGACCCAGGACGTATTGCTGGACCTGCTGGAGGGAAGGGAGGCACGGGAGAACCAGAACCAGGACTGAGAGGGGCAGACTGTCAGACCCTGCTGCAGTAACATGAGAGGTTTTCTAAAGAGACTCTGGAGCTCAGAGACACTACCACTTTAGTCCACAGGGGGCGACAGAATCAACACAACATGAAAGTTCCCTGTACTAACTTTAACTTGCGTAGCAAACATGCTTATTTGAACCTAAATCTTAATCCTTTCAAAGATCCAAAAAGATTGACAACCTCTGTTTTTACGGGAATGAAAATTGATCTGATAAATCTGGAAATATCTGAACATTTGGATCCTTACCCAGAAACAATAAGCACTGAACCACAAACACAAACTAAAAGTTAAAGATCTATGAAGTTACTTTTTTGTGGGATTTTTCATTTATGACCTTAAGCACTCTGTTGTTTTTGTCTTTTGTAATTTGTCTGACATGTTGTGGTTTCACATTGGTCCTGAAGTGTTTAATGTGCTCACACAGTGTGTGCATATCATGTAAGATGAGATGAACTTTATCGTCATCCATACTGGTCACAGGGCAAGTGTACTGCAGAACAAAAATTAGTAATATGTTAATTATGTAAACATATATGGGAAAACAACGTTGAATAAATCTGGAGAGACATGCATATGCTCATAAATGTAAATGGTCCCTAGGAGGGTGAGTTACGCAGCAGCGCAGTAGAATCTGAAAGGAGCAGCAGCGACGGTCCTGCAGGGCATGTGGGGTGTCAGAGGCCTGAGGGACTGCAGAGGTCCGGAGGAGCTGGTTAGTGTTACAGCTCTGACAGCAGGAGGAGAGTTTACAGCGCTCCATCATTACACAACACGAAACTCCTCCAATGTCACTTTTACTTTGAGTGCTTTAAGTCACAGGAAGCTTATTTTTCCTGCTTCGTATTTGGTCCTTGGTCAAATAAAAAAGGACAATGAGTTCCCGAGGGTTGGATCAGGTTCAGTAACATCAAACAAACCCAATAAGATTTGTGGTGAAGCGCGTCCTGACTGGGTGTGTTTGACAGTAAACTGAGGGCTCTTTAACGAGGCACTACGGCAAACACAAGGATCTGAAACCAAAGCTCGGTGGCTAAGCAGTAATCCTTTTTACATTATGTCAGCCTGCTGTCGTTCACAGCGGACAAATCTGCACAAACAAAGACCTGCCCTCTGAGGGAACTGTCACACTTTAAAGTCCTCCTCCCTCTGGAGCTCTGGAGCAGGTCCGAGGCTGCAGGTGAAGCCTGATCTGGGTCTGTCCATGGTGGACCGGTCTCTGCTGGAGGACCTGGGTCTGTCCACGGTGGACC